ATATTTATGACGGTCGCAGTGTCCCAGGGTCACCTTTTGCAATCTTCTGACAAGCAAAGTCAGTGGGGAAGCCAGATTCACTTAACAACCATGTTGCTAACTTCACAACTGCAGTGATTTGCTTAACAACGTCCCCAAGAGTAAAATGGCGATCACGTGACCCCAAGATGCTTCAAACATCATAAATATAGGCCAGTTGCCAAGCACCTAAATTTTGATCTGCGGATGCTGTTTTAAATATAAGGAGCAGTCATTAAGTCATTTTTTTCCAGCACCATCCTAATTTTGAATGGTCATTCAATGAATGGCCATAAGTCAAGGACTACCTATAGCAGGGCTTTTCAACCTTTTCACCCATTGTACCACTTTTAGGATATGGCAACATCCAAGTAACACCAGTCGCCTAGCAAGGTGTCAAAAACTTGATGACACCCCCCCAAAAAAGGAAAAAAGTGATGAAGTACAGGTAGTCCTCAACAGTTCGCTTAATGACTGTTCGAAGTTACAATGGCACTGAAAAAAGTGCACCCCAAGCCACAGCCGAGCAAGACACCTGCATGCCCACCCGGCGGCGCTCTTCCTCCTGTCCGAGGTTTTCATTGTTGTGAGCATTTCTGTTGAGGATTGGCAGCGGGGGTGGGGTGGGGGTGTTTGGTTTTTATTCCCCCCGTCTGCTGGGTGGTTGCAGCAGATTTTGGTCACTCCACATGACCGTGGGACACTGTGACCGTCATAAATATGAATCAGTTGCCAAGCATCTGAATGTAAATCACAAGACCCTGGAGATGCTGCAACATTCCAGCTGATCGGCACTTCTTCTGGGCTCAGCAGAAGCGCCAGGATCAGCGCCGAGTTCCAGCTGGAGCCTGGCGCTGATCCTGGCGCTTCCACTGAGCCCTGACAGCCCCAAAGAAGCGCTGATCCTTGTGCTTCCTCTGAGCCCTGACAGCCCTGCAGCTCCAGCCGTCTCTCGCTCAGGCTTGTGCGGTGCTGCCACCGGTTCAGCTCATTCCCCTCCCCCGCTACCACTTTTCTAGGATGGTCACGTACCACCTGCCAGGTGCCAATGTACCACAGGTGGTACCCGTACCACTGGTTGAAAAGCCCTGACCTATAGCATTCATGCTTACAAGGAGGCCCTTACATAATAAGGTTGAACAAAATTAAGGGCAGAAAAAAGAGGGAGAACTGAATGACAACTGATTAACTGTTTACCAACCGTCATGGGATCCTTCCTCTGATCGTTGCCGTTATCCTTGTCATAGGTTGGACAATACATATTTTGGGCTGGGGCGCAAGGTTTCCCCAATCGATAGCAGCTGGAGATCAAGATGAGAGTCCGTCCAGGAATGGGGTGCATATTATGCTTAACTGATAATCCAACTGCATTCTCCAGAGCCTGACAGTAACGTTGCAGGAGCTCAGGGGTGTAGCGGATGTCTCTGTGAGATACAAAATTGAGAAAGAAGAAAGTCTGAACAAAGGGGAATATTTGCAGCTCAGGGGTGAAATGAGGGGTCCCTGGTACTCTCTGAGCTACCAAGCTCAAGAGAGCCTCAAAGACCCTTCAGAAGAAAGTCTAAAAATAGAAACTACTATTTTCTTGTTGAACGTCTATGGCAGGGGTGGGGAACCTTGGCTCTTTTATGACTCGTGGACTTCAACTCCCAGAATTCCTGAGCCAGCGTGGCTCAGCTTGGAAACCTCTCCCTGTCCCCTCAGCATGGCTGGCTCAGGAATTCTGGGAGTTGAAGTCCACGAGTCATAAAAGAGCCAAGGTTGCCTACCGCTAGATTAGGCCTAGGCCACTTTCTGACTCGTGGACTTCAACTCCCAGAATTCCTGAGCCAGCATGGCTCAGCTTGGAAACCTCTCCCTTTCCCCTCAGTATGGCTGGCTCAGGAATTCTGGGAGTTGAAGTCCACGAGTCATAAAAGAGCCAAGGTTGCCTACTTTCTGACTCGTGGACTTCAACTCCCAGAATTCCTGAGCCAGCGTGGCTCAGCTTGGAAACCTCTCCCATTCCCCTCAGTATGGCTGGCTCAGGAATTCTGGGAGTTGAAGTCCACGAGTCATAAAAGAGCCAAGGTGGCCTATCCCTGGTCTATGGAGATTCTCAGTCATCCAGGTCATGGTTGTCCCAAAGGTGCTTTTTCAAAANCTTACCCTGGCTCAGCACAGATGTTGATGAAAAGGCAGTCTGGGGCAACATGGTGGCGATATGTCTGGAGACAAGAATCGCTGAGCTCCTCAACATCACTACTTAGCAAGAGAATCGTATCAACCTGGAGTTGGGAAAGAAAAATAAGAGCTCCGTAACACGCAGGGACTCATCACACTGACCTGCACATGTTAAAACTTCCAGGCAATGGCTTGTGGGTGCAAAAGTCCTTTCTGCAACTTTTTTTTTCTTTCTGTTTAAGTGAAGACCTCGACAGACTCCAACTCCATGCAGCCAGCAGCTGCATTCATCAAGTTCTCCCCAACCCAAACCTGTTGCTGAACTACAACTCCCATCAGCACCCTGTGGATGGGATCGTAGGAAGCTGTAACCAATGCTGAGGGTTGTTATGGAAGCTACCAAAGCTTTGAGACCCCTCCCATCCTAAGCCCCTTTTTGTCCAGCTGGCCCAAGAATGTGCAAAGACTTCTGCTTTCTGCTGTGCAAAATCAAGGCTACCACCGTTAAAAAAAACAACAACAATTCCTTGGATAAGACCTAAAAGAATAGTCATCCAGAACCTAACTGGATCTAGTTTACACCAATCCCATGCACTAAGCATCACTATTTGTTTGCTGTCCTCAAACCCACTCACCTATTCACACAATTCGTGATTATTCATATTTATCTGGAGAAGAGGGATTAAGGTCCTCTAGAAACATCAAGGCAGAGAGGCAGTGATTGTTTCACTGAGGACACCTGTTCTAAAGACATCTTCATTCATTAACCTGATGGATTTTTAAATGATCGTTTTGTCCAACCTGTCCTTCTAATTTGAAGGCTTCCTCCATTTTTTATCATGGACTCACGTGTTCCCGCCGAGTCAAGAAATCCTTGATGACGTCCGATGATGACCAATCGTCACTGTAGTAAACTGTGTTGTACTGGAAGAAGAAGCATTGGACACATCAGCCACTCCTAGATCCATGATTCAGGCACAAAGAATCAGGATCATTTGTGTAGATAGCACTTAGACTTACAGTATATACCATTCCATAGTGCTTTACAGCCCTCTCTGAGCGGTTTTACAGAGTCAGCTTATTGCCCCTCAACAACCTGGGTCCTTATTTTACCGACCTCGGAAGGATGGAAGGCTGAGTCAACCTTGCACCAGCCAGGATCAAATTCCTGGCAGTGGGTAGAGTTAGCCTGCAGTACTGCATTCTAACCACTGCACCACTAGGGCTCCCATTTATTTTTTTTGCAGCATAAATGATTTATTGAGGCCTATACACAAGAATCTGGACAACTAAAACTGTCAGCACTAAATTGATGCTAGATGGAGTGAGTGGAAATCAAGGACGACTTGGATCCTTTGTGGCAACGTAAGGATTCTAAACTGATGACACATTTTACTACCCCCCCCCCCCAGCTTTGCCTTCTCTTCTCCTACAAAATGGAGCTCTTCTGTAGATTCACTAACTGGCTAATCAGCACCTGGCAATCCATGACTGACAAGCTTCTTCTGTCTCCATGTCAGTTTCTCTTTCTACTTTGTTATATTGGGGGCGGGGGGGGGAGAGAAGAGGAAAATGTACCTCTTTTTTCTCCTATTGTTTTTGCAATCTTCATTGTGCAAAGTTATACACCCATCCCAACATTCCCTTGGGGAGGTAAGCAAAGCTATGCTTATTTACACAGAACAAAACTGAAGGAGAAAGCTGAAGAAATTAAAGTCAGGGAACCTAACTAGATCTAGTTTACACCAATCCTAGTCACTAAACATCTCTGCTTCTTTGCTCCCCCTTAAACTCTCTGGCTGATTCATGCAATGTGTGATTATTCCTATATATCTGTATAAAAGCAAAAGACAGTGAAATCCAGTGGTGGGATTCAGCCGGTTCGCACCACTTCGGCAGAACCGGTAGCTAATTTTTTGTTGCCCAGGCCCAGAATGGACTTCCGGAAGCGGCATCCACACAGAGAACCGGTTGGTTCACATATTTGAATCCCACCACTGCTGAAATCAAAGTCTTGCCCTGAGCCCAACGTCGCTCTCAGTTCCACGTCTTACCATCTTCTGTAAGGTTTGCACATCCTTCAGCACAGAACCGGTCATGGGAATAGCCCCCACAATGTCTGAAAAGTTGCAGAAGAAGACTTTAGCCTGTTCACAGACCGAATATAACATGGATCCCAGCAACATGGCCAAGTCTCGGATCTAGAGAGAGGAGAAGAGTGACAGTGAAAGAGGCGCACAAAGGTGGCCGTTCAAAGTTACAACAGCATTGAAAAAAAGGGACCAATGATCGCTTTTCACGCTTACGACCACTGCAGCATCCCCATGGTCACGTGATCAACATCTGGGCACTTGGCAACTGGCATGTATTTGTGACACTGGCCCAGGATCATGTGATCACTATTTGCCACCTTCCCAGCCAGCTTCCAACAAGCAAAGTCAATGGGGGGGAGTCATATTCACTTAACAACCATGTTACTAACTTAACAACTTCCTTAACAATGTCCCCCAAAGTAAAATGGCGATCACGTGACCCCAAGATGCTTCATGTGTCATGTGTCTGATTAACGAAACACTTAAAAGGACTTTCAGGCATATTTTTTCCTAAAAGCATTTATTAAGGTTACAGAGACGTCAGTACGGCATGGTGGAAATGCTTAGATCTGGATTCTTTTCCGTTACACATACATTCTAAGCATTTTCCCCGCCCCTATTTTGGGGTCATGGTTCACATCTTCCAATTAACCTGGAAGATGTGATTTACTTCCGGTTTCTTTTTCCCGGGCTTTCACTGTTGCCTGATTTAACTATAAAAATACCAGACAGTTCTGCATATTGTCAAAGCAAGAATATACAGTATTTGCAGCGTTGACATCATGATTCATTTAACAACCCTTTAACTGACCATATTTGTTATACATGCCAATACAAGTAGTCCTCGACAGTTCGTTTAGTGACTGTTCAAAGTTACAACGGCACTGAAAAAAGTGACTTATGACTGTTCTTCACACTTACGACCGTTGCGGCATTCCCCATGGTCACGTGATCAAAATTCAGAAACTTGTCAACTGACTCATATTTATGACGGTCGCAGTGTCCCAGGGTCACCTTTTGCAATCTTCTGACAAGCAAAGTCAGTGGGGAAGCCAGATTCACTTAACAACCATGTTGCTAACTTCACAACTGCAGTGATTTGCTTAACAACGTCCCCAAGAGTAAAATGGCGATCACGTGACCCCAAGATGCTTCAAACATCATAAATATAGGCCAGTTG